TGAGTGTTTCATAAGACTACGTTCGCCAATATGACAGGCGTAATCAGGGCGTACATCTATCGCTTATTGGAGAACAAATATGCATTGTACGTTGCTGTAATCATGATGCTATTATTTACGTTCAACCAGATGAGTAGGTAAGTTCGCATTTAAACTGCAGACATTTTAATTTCTCCTGCAAAATCACTTTTAGTAAAAGTAACCGTGGGAAAATAAAACGTGTTACAAATAAATTACCACATCTGATCATGGTGTTTGTGTCATCACTGTTGTAAACACATTATCTGAACTCGTTATGATACGTTTAGGATAACACTTGTTTGATACTCAGGTCACAAGACAATATTCAAATTATGTGTGATATGGTGATGTACACGGTGTGTACAGTCTGGTAGTGTTCTACCTATACTAGTTGTGTTTCATAGCCGCCTTTGTTTTCGTCGTTATTTTCATTTTGACAAAATGGAAGACACATGGTGACAAATTTGAGAATATTTGTATTTGTACATTGACTTCTGACCGTTTTTCATTTTAAACTATGTTTTATGATATTTTATTTGGAACGTACCCAAACAAAAGTAAGAATAAAACAGATCTAAAATACAAAAAAACAAAGCAAAATTGGAAAGGATAAACTTGTCACAACTGGAGAGAATTTCAATGAATAGATCATCAAAACTAAAATTTTGAAAAAGTGGCTCATACATAAAGAGAGCTGAGAGAAATTTCTGTTTACATTCTTTGATAATGTTATACTGACAATGAAATAAACAATGTTTTCCAATCTTGTTACAATCATGGATTTTACATAGTCTTTCTTCTCTCTTAATGTCTGAATGTCTCTCAGATTCAACTGGTAAAGAAATGTGCTGATACTCTAAAAATCTTGTCGGTACAATCTTGTGGTTTTTATTTGTAATGTCATCTAAATACTTTTCAAAAACATATTTATCATTTATTAATTTGTTTGTACAAGTCTAATTTTTTGTTGCCCTGTATATCGTTTTGCCACTTATACATTCCTTATTCTTTCTTGACATTTTTAGTTTTAAGGTCAGTGGAACTAAACTAAATTTATTAATAATACCAACCGAGGGATCATTCTGACTCAAACTATTTTCTATAAAGGCAGCATTGATAATATTATTATTTTATATCTTAACATATCTGACAGAAATGTTTTTTTTTTTAAATGCAATAAAAAGTTATTATTATAGTAATATATATATAATATAATAATAAAGATTAGAACAGCATCACAGGGGTCCACGTTTTAGATTTTGACCAATTTGAATTTTGTTTCATCACAGAACAAGAAGAAAAGGATAATTAGAACGATAACAATTAAGGTAGCGAGACTATTATTTGTGTTGAAAATTACGATTTTCACATTTATTTATTAATTGATGAAATGCACTATAAACTTTCATGTGATAAAGTCAACATAACATAGAATGTCATGTAAGTTGGTTGAAATGTAGATTTTCTGAAGGGAAGCAAGGCAGCCTCAGTAGTGTTTTCCAAAATCAACAACACAGGTTTAATCTGTGTGCCGATAAGTTTCAAAGATAAACTCAAGACAAAGCAATGTTAGGATGTGTTATCAGTAGCTATCTGACACACAATTAGTGTTTCCAAACATTTGAGTGGTTTGTCTCCGCCCCTGTTTGTTTCACAGATTAGTCATTTGCATATGAATGTGTCAGACACAAGGTCACACAGCCACTGAAAAAAATCATTGATTTTGGTGTTTTCATATGCCGAATTTATCCAATTATAGCTATCCCATTCC